GCTTTAGCTCTGACGCTCCAGCTCTTAGGCCTCCGCTAATGAAAGTAGGTAATCGAAACAATGTATAACTCCAGCTCTGACTCCAGCTCTGAGATCCCGGCTTTCGGCTTTCGCTGAAAGCAGGTTTTTGGAGTTCTTTTTAGCTTCTATATATTACTATGTTTCAAACTGCCCGCTCAGAGGCCTGCAGCAGCAGGCAGGGAACGTTGGAGTTCGCCATCACTGAAGCAAGCAAGCCTCATGTTCAGTTTAAGCTGCTTGACTGCCGGCTGCCATCTTGTCTGTCAGTTAATTTGCATATCTCGCTGATTAGCCAATGGGAAGAGTAGCGGTCGTATGCCAATTACCATGTTTCTCTTTTATTAATGTAGATAAGTCAGCTCTAGAATGCATATAGTATTGGTTAGCACAGTGAGAAGCCCCTCCCTGTTCATCTGCAGCTTCTGAGTGTATTTTCCTTTTAGTCTAAGTAGCTTGACCTAATGATTTTAGGCTTCCAGTCTCTCCTGGTGTCCTTAACGCTGCCCTCCTTTTTGAGACTGCCCTTTTGAACCATCGTAGTGGAGAGCTGTATTTCTCTTGGAGTCAAACATAGCGTATGAAGCCATTATTCTGAGAGCCTCCACCTGGTGAGGCTGTATCTCAGTCCTTTAGTTCACTTCCCAACCAGCGGTGCTGTGCAGATTTTCCCAGCCCTGCTGGTTTTTATCTGGGTTATTCTGGAGCTCTGATGGAAACATTTGCAGGGGATGTCTTCTCTTTTGCCAAAGTCAAGGTATGGATTTCTCAGCCTGGTTAAGTTTTCATCCATGTTTTGCCTATTTTAAATCATTGAGAAAAGTTTCATTGTTTTCCTGTCACTGGTACCTCTCCTGGCTTTGTGACACTACTAAGAATTTGACACTACTAAGCGTTTTGACTGGGGACTTGGGGAGGAAGCACGTTTCTTCAGTCAGACAACTTGAGCCAGAAGTCTCTGTTCCTCTTGTTTCAGAAGTCTTGGGAGTCCAGGAACAAGTCTGTAATTCTAAAAGTTCTGCATCCAGTTAGTAACGCATCTGACTGACCTGAACTTCTGTGGTAACAAAACCAGAGAGGTCATTTGTAGTCTTCACCTTTTGTGCTTGGTGTGACTTTTCTTTTTTAATCCTCACCCAAGGAGTGAGGGTATTTTTTCCATTGACTTTTAGAGGGAGTAGAAGGAAGGGAGCCGGGGAAGGAGGGACAGAGAGCGAAACATCGATGTGAGAGAGACACATGGATTGGTTGTCTCCCACACTGCCCCAACCAGGGGTGGGAATCGAACCTGCAACCCATGTATGTGCCCTTGACTGGGAATCAAACCTGCAAAACCACACTGGTCATAAATTTTGTTCAGTTGTGCAGTACCCATTGGGAGGCATTTGTAATATTTTATATATTGCCATAATACATTTCTAAAATATGAAAAATTCTGATTTCCAAACTGCATCTAGCCCAGAAAAGGGATTGTAGGACTTGTACCATATTGAATTTAGGAGAACTTCACAGAGTAAATGAGTTTTTGAGAGGGATTACAGTTTCTGGTTGTAAGGAGATTTGATTTATATTTTATATTGGGGTTTATGGACACTATGAAGATAGAATTAGAAGATATGGATTGAAGAGAAAAATAAATGAAAATACATTCCTATTGTAGAAACAATATGTGACTCAATGATGTCTTTTCACTTAATCCTCAATAAGCATTTACCAAAATACTGTATTTTTATGTAATAATTCAGGGGCGGGAAGCTAAAATAGACAGTCATCAGGAATCATTTGCTCACTCAGCCCCAGAGAGCATACCTGGTACTTTTGAAGATGCAGTAAAGATACTTAAGCCTTCAGCTATAATTGGTAAGTAAAGTTGTTGCAGATTATTCTCTTACTTAACTGTATCTTGCCAATCATAACTTACATCAGGATTACTAAAAAAGAAATGGTAGACTTTATCTAGCTTTCAGCATATATGATATTTTTCATAATAGCTTTTTTATTACAGCGTGCAATGAAAATTCAGTTAATGTATATTGCTTGTATTTTTAAGTGTAGAGGCTGTGGGATTTATCACACTTTATTTTTAAAGTTGGTATGAGTGTTGGGCTCAAAACCTAAAAAGACCAAGGTCATTGACACACTGTACCAGGAAAATCCTATGCAGAGTCTAAGGTTTTCACTGGCAACAAAGCTGAAAGTGTTTGGTATCTTTTGAGTCAGGTATTGCATAGCTGACATGAGACTATGACAACATGGCATGAAGTTCATAGCAGAAAATGTAACAGTCTTTAAAGGGGGAGCTATTTTCTTTCCAATGTAGCTATAAGATTTTTAATCTATCATTATCTTTTAATTGTATCTGTTTCATGTACAAGCCCTATTGAATGCCAAATAGCAAAATAGTCACAAACAGTAAGTGTCTATGATCAGGAAAAGTACATCTTTTTAGCTTCTTCATTGATTAGAACTCATATAAGTAAAATCACACAGTATGTCTTTTTGTGACTGGTTTATTTCACTTAGCATAATATCCTCAAGGTTCATCCATGTTGTAGCAATTTTAATTAGACATAGTGATGTAGATAATCTTATACTCTTCTCCTCCTTACCCCCCACAATTTACTATGTCTGGGGTGGACAATAAATATTTTAAGTGAAAACTTAGCATTTTATTGTTTTTCTTTTCACATTTGAAATTGTGTTCATATAACATTATTTCAGCAATGCAAAATCCATCTTTGTAATAGAGTTCACCTACGCTTTTGTTATGTTAAACCTGTTATAGAAATGCTGTTTATAAGAATTGCTTTTAGTCCAGCCAGTGTGGCTTAGCAGTTGAGCATCGACCTATGAACCGGGAGGTCACTGTTCAATTCCCCGTCAGGCCATGTGCCCGGGTTGTGGGCTCGTCCCCAGTGTGGGGCATGCAGGAGGCAGCCAATCAGTGATTCTCTCTCATCACTCATGTTTCTATCTCTCCCTCTCCCTTTCTCTCTCTCAAATCAATGAAACTATTTTTTTTTAAAAAGAATTGCTTTATTTTACTTGTAATGAAGTTGGCTGTTTTTCCCCTTATTTATTTCAGGAGTTGCAGGAGCTGGCCGACTTTTCACTCCTGGTGTAATCAAAACCATGGCTGATATCAACGAAAGGCCTATAATCTTTGCATTAAGTAATCCTACAGCAATGGCTGAGTGTACAGCTGAAGAAGCATATACACTTACAGAGGTATTAATAATAATTTAATGAATTAGTTATGTCCTATATTCCCTCTATTAACCTGTTGTTATACATTCTTGCATAATTTTCATGGTTACTTTGGAGATTACAACATTCGTCCGTGGATCATCAAATACTGGTATTAAATTATTGCTTGTAACAATTCTAGAAAGTAATTACCTCATAATTCTATTTTTTAATACCTTTATGCCATTTGTGCTGTTTTACATTTTTTTAAAATATATTTTTATTGATTTCAGAGAGGAAGGGAGAGGGAGAGAGAGAGAAAAACATCATTGATGAGAGAGAATCATTGATCAGCTGTCTTCTGCACGTACCCATGATCCTGCAACCCGGCCATGTTGCCCTGACCGGGAATTGAACTATAACCTCCTGGTTCATAGATCGATGCTCACCCACCAGCCAGATGAGATAAAACATTTTTCACAATTTTTATAACTTTGAAACTTCTATCTCTTTTTTTAAAATGATTTTTTAAAAAGCATTTCATTATAGTTTAATTTTATATAATTTCTTGGTGTTACATAAAATAATGACATATTTATGTATTTGCAGTTACCTCTTAAATTTTCAGTTCCTTTGTTTTCAGTGGAGAGATGTCTTAGTGTTACTCTAACACCCTCGATGCTTAGTGAGAAAGCAGCAGTTTCTTGTAGAACAGAGAATAGGCCAGCTTGGGCCTCAGAATGTGACAATACTGTTACCATTAAGATCTGGCCACACTTAAGCAATAGGTAGAATGTGACGGGGAAAGAACAGATGGTTTGGAGAAGATGAACTGCTGTAGAATCTCACCGTTCTAGAGAACATTCCCAAGATCTTTCTAAATCTCCAAATTTACTGGTATCATGTGAATATAACACATTCCCCATAAAGAACTATATTGTATAATCCACTTTATGGAGCTATTAAAATTAATGGTGCCCCCATAATATTTATTATTATACACACTAGAGGCCCAGCGCGCAAAATCGCGCAAGACCCAGACCCCCGTGCCACTGGACCCAGACCTCCCTGCACCGTGGGATCCAGACTCCTTCTGCCGTGCCGCCGCAGGCAGGACCCCAGACTCCCTCCGCTGCACGTGCTGGCAGGACCCCAGACCCGCCGCACCAGTGGGATCCCAGACCCTGCCACTGCCACCACGGGCCTCGCGAGCTCATTTGTGCCTTGCTAGTCCCCATTCCTCTCTCTCCAGTGTTGAGTGTCTGAGCCATTGGCTGCTCCGAACTGTTTGGCTCTTTTCCTTAGTAACAGCTTTTACCTTCTGCCTCAATTCCTCTCCCACCTTTCACCCTTCCCCCACGCACCACCTACCTCTGCCGCCAGCCAGGGACGCCCCCGCCCCGTCCCCCACAGCAGGAGCACCTCTGCTCGCCACCTGGGGACCCATGCTGCACTCCCTGCCCCCACCTGCCCAGCGCCCATCCCCCACACCCTCTTCACTGCACGGCCCCCGCCTTGCTGCTATCAGAGCCTGTGGGCCACGGGAACGAGAGGTGCTCCATGCACCTCCTGGTGACCGATCTTTGGGCATTACGGCCACAGGTTTTTTGTATATATAGACTAGAGGCCCGGTGCACCAAATTAGTACAGAAGAGGAGGATCCCCTCAGCCCAGGCTGCACCCTCTCCAATCCGGGACCCCCTCGGGGGATGTCCGACTGCTGGTTTAGGCCCGATCCCTGGGACTGCTGGCTCCTAACTGCTCACCTACTGCCTGCCTTATCACCCCTAACTGCCCTCCCTGCCAGCCTGATCAGCCCTAACCGCCTCTGCTTGCCAGCCCGATTGTCCCTAACTGCCCCCCTGCTGGCCTGGTCACCCCCAACTGCCCCCCTGCCAACCTGGTCGCCCCATGCAGCCTGCTGTTCAGTCGTTTGGTCGTCCCTCACTAACCCCCCTGCCGGCCTGGTCACCCCACGCAGCCTGCTGTTGGTCATTACTGTTACTGTGACAGTGTCCCAGACAATTTGCATATTCCTCTATTATTAGTATAGATTATTATTATGGTAACATGTATGGCATTAGCCAGGAACTAATGTTAATGTTCAAACACAACTTTTGTTACGCGTAGTTATGTCTAAAATAGGTTGAGAATGATAATAGCTATCTGTAGAAAATGTTGTATGTAGTTGTAGGTCCAAGCTAGTCACCCGAGCCTACCACTAAGCCTGTCGCTGACTTGCTTCAACACTTACCATAAACCTTGTATCATTTTTGAAATTGAAAGTATATCTTGTAAAAGTATTCATTACTGTACTTCATGGACCTTCAGGTCAAATTCTTGAGTGTTTAAACCACTAGTGCCAAGGATCTGCTATACTTCAAAGAATAACACTTCGATATTACACTCTTGTTACAATTTGGATTTTAGGTTATTAGACATAGTTCTTTTGAATGTTCAAATACTCGTGGCAGTTTGTCCATCCTACCATGTGGACATAGTTCAGTTTTCTGTAAATCACTTTTTAACTTAATCCAAGGAGCTGTTTAAAACAGGACATATATATGTTATGCCTTGATTATTGCAGGATAGGTTATCCTGCTAGAGAACATTGCTTTCTTCTTGCTCTTTGTCTTATTTTTTTTCCAGGGAAAGGTGGGGGTGGTGGTATTTGTTGAGGGATTTTATATATAAAGGACTTCATTTTATAAATTAATGTCCAGATACTTTTCAATTTCACAGGCATTGACTTCTCTTAGAAATACAGAATGTACCAGTAACATTTGTTATGTGCTATTATAGAGCATAGTACTAGACTGGATGACTACGACAAATTTGGAGACTTTTTTTTTAACAAGGCAACATGCCATTTTTTTCTGGGATTGATAGTGTAGTTGTATCGATGCCTCTTTTCTAAACTGCCTCACTAGGGGGCATTATGGCATAACATTTTTCAACGTTAGAATGTATGCATAAAACAAACTTTATTCCAATAAAAATTAAGTGACAGAATTATGTTATATAGTAAATTATTCCTGTTTGCAAATAATATGTTGGTCTGCTTTACTATAGGATTTAATCTTGTTTGAGGTTACCTTGATTTTCTAAGGCATATCAAGTAACAGAATCAAGGCCATTTCATTTCTTCGCAGGGAAGGTGTTTGTTTGCCAGTGGCAGTCCATTCGAGCCGGTGAAACTAAGTGATGGGCGAGTGTTCACGCCAGGCCAAGGCAACAATGCATATATTTTCCCAGGTAAATGTCACCATTATGTGTGTTTCAGAGTAATCATTAATGAAATTCTTTAGAGTTTAAGATTAAAATGAACGATGGAATTTACAGGATTTTGGTATGCATGCACAGGGTAACTCAAGAAATTCAGCAGATCCAACTTGCTGTATTTCCTCTGAAAATGTATTTATTCATACAGGGGTGGGCAAAAGTAGGTTTACAGTTATAATTCAACAGATAAATAATTCAACAATTACAGTTGTGAGTATGCGAAACATAGTTTATTCTTGTAGTTTTTAAATTATTTTATTATTTTCCATATAAGCAACTGTAAACCTACTTTTGTCCCACCCATTTAAGGAGACAGTCATTTTTGCCCCAGACATTTAAATAACTGCATTATATGTAGATGGACCAGTTACTCTTCTTTAAAATTTTCTATGTTTTCCAGAGGCTGGATTAAAATAAGGAAGCTATTAACCCTCTGATCTTCTCGTCCTCCCCACTCTATTGGGATAGTCTTTGAATAGTTCAAAACAAAATTTCTAGACTTTGAGACAACAGACATAGTTGAGGACAGAGGTGCCAGAAAGTGGGAGATTAAAAGCCAGATCACTCAATAGTGACAGAGTAGGCAAGCCCCATCCTTGTGTTCATAACTACCAATCATTTTTTAGTTCCGAACCCTTGCATATGAGAAATGGTCAAAGATTACTGCCCAGCTGGCGTGGCTCAGTGATTGAGCATCGACCTATGAACCCATTGGTCATGGTTCAATTCCCGGTTAGGGCACATGCCCGGGTTGTGGGCTCCATCCCCAGTCAGGGCATGCAGGAGGCAACCAGTCAGTGATTCTCATCATTGATGTTTCTATCTCTCCCTCCCTCTCCCTTCCTCTCTCTATGAAGTTAATAAAAAATATATATATTTTAAAAGATTACTAGTCCTATGTGGGAAGAAGGAAAATTAAAAACTATCAATATCATCATGGAGACAAATGATTGCATCTCTGAAACAAGACTTATTTTTTAAAATTATAAAACAAAAATAAAGTTTTAAAAATGAAAATTTTAGTAGCAGAAGGATTAGATGAAAAAGTTGAGGAAGTCACCTAGAAATAGAGCAAAGAACAGAGATAGAAATAGAGGAGAGGATTAGAGGAATAGTCCACGAGGTACAATAGCAGGAAATAGAAATTTCAGGAAGAGAGCACAGGAACACGGGCGGAAGGGCATTATCAAAAGCTTTATGAACATTTCCCCAAACGGAAAGACTCAAGTTTCCAAATAGGAAAGGCCTGCCCACTGTGTGCCAAACACCTCAGTGAAAATGATGCACCTCAGGGCAGATCATGAAATTACAGAACATTAGCCACACACACGAACATAGCCTACATCCCTCCAGAGAGGAAGTAAAAAGATAATCACTGAAAAAGTACCTGGGATCACATTGGCACTGGATCATCACCAATAATGCTGGAAGCTTATTTCTGAACTAGAATTCTAAACTCAAACTATCAAAATGGAAAGTAGGAAAAGAAGAAAAAGAAAAAGATAGTTGAGGAATGTAAGAATTCGATGTAAGATTTCAAAAAATATACCTCCCAATATACTGTTTTTCAGAAAACTACAGGAGAATATATGCTAACAGGAAGAGGTAGTAACAAAAAACTAGGAAGAAGTGGGATTTAGGAAATAAACTCAACTTAGAAGCAAAGGGAATCCCGATGATAGAGGGATTTTCCAGCATGACAACTCCATATCTGAAGTGGATTGCAGCCAGATCACATTTATTCTAGAGGATGAAATGAGAGACTACATGAGGTAGCTGAAATATTATACTTCAAATTCCAAAAAACCACTAAAGTCAAGAAAAAAATAGGATAGTAACTTTAGGGAAAACAAAGTTATACAGAAGAGGAAAAATCATGATACAGTGTTATAGTGGATAGTCAGCTGTGAATAGCATTTATGAAGTCATAATAAACACTGAATGTTCACTCAATCAAAATGATGGGAAGAAGAAAAAAGGCTGGAAATGTGACAGAAAGCTAACTAATTTCCCACAGGAGAGAAGCAGTGATATTTAAAACTCAGAAGTCAGAACTCTAAGCAAGCTGTGTAAGAGTGAGAAATGAATATTGAAACAATCAGCTAAAAGAATTGCAAGTAGTTGCCTCTGTATAGCAAGAAACAGAGGGTTGGAGGTGTGTGGGAATAGTGTTTTCTGTAACAAATGTCGATAAATTGTATGCATTTGTAATTTTGATAAATGTAAAAACAATATTGGGGAGCTATTTGATATTTTCTAAAATATTTTTTCTAGTAAATAAGAATTATAGTGGTTAATAAAGATCATTGGATTTTAACTCTCAGATTTTTGTGTTTATTTTCTTGGCTGCTTGGGGTTTTTTTGGAGAGGGTATTAGGAGTGGGGATGGCTTGCCATTCACTTGCTTTAAATCTGGGAATTTATTTGGCTCCTTTCACAATTTGAAAAGTGACCTTACTAATAAACTGTTTAAACTGTATTCTAGGAGTGGCTTTAGCTGTTATTCTCTGTCACACCCGGCATATTAGTGACCATGTTTTCCTAGAAGCTGCAAAGGTAATTATTTTCAATATTGTATAGTTATTTTATAAAGGATGAGTTATAAAGATTAAAAGCAGAAAGGAAAAGAGAAGGGGTTAAATCTGCCTTATGAATGTGAAGGAAGTTACTCACCCATTGCTCTTGTGATTTGCCCATCTACTTTTGCATAAAATTATTTTTTAGCATGATTTTTCAAATGTGTGATGGTAAGCTATGAATCCTTTTGTATTTATAACACATCTATACCTGTATTATATGTTTCTGAAAGTAACAAATTCTGACAGCATAGATAAAATATAACTCCTTGTGAGTTTTTAATGACAATTACAGATTTATTTGGAATATTTGCAACTCCAAACTTGGCAGTATGAGTTTTGAAGAACTCACAGTAATACAAATATTAATGTCTATTTTCATAGTAGCTGTTGTAATTATACCAAACTGTGTATGTTAAGTAGAATATATTAATAAGTCTTTAGATCTGGTTATTTCTTAATTGTTTAGTAGTGAACAGTTTTAATTTCTGCAGTAGTTTAAGTGTATTCCTGCTAGAAATAGGAGAATTATATTATCTGTATTTCTGCTCCTCAACCCTTTCTATGTTTCAGTAGGTCTTTATTATTCTGTGTTATTTAAACAAACAAACATAAAGTTCTCTTTTTCTCTTTAGGCACTGACAAGTCAGTTGACGGATAAAGAGCTAGCTCAAGGGAGACTTTATCCCCCTTTTTCCAATATTCAGGAAGTTTCCATTAACATTGCTATTAAAGTAAGTAATAGTTTATACCTCTTCATATAAATTTTAATAGAACTTTCTTATGTAAGTAACACAAGTTTATTAAAGAAAAGTTTGAAACATATAGTGCAAAGAAGAAATTTTAGTTCACCCATATTCTACCAGAATATAACCCACATTGTTATTTTGAGTTTGTTGCCTTCTAGTCTTCTTAAGCACACACGTGCCCAGTCACCAGTACCTATTTTTACAATTGGATTGTCACTGCACCTTTTCCCACTTAGTGTATTATAAGTCTTTTCCCTTGTTAATCAATAATAATTCTCTTTTTGTTATGTCATAATTAGTTTAACCATTTCTCTTTGGACATTTAAGTGTTTTTCATTTTGGTAGAAATAATATTGTAGTGAACATCCTCAGATAAGTCTTTATGTGCATTTGTGATTGTTTTTCCTTAAGATAAGTTCCTAATCATAAGGACGAACAGTGTTAACACACTAAGGCTACTGATTCATATTGCCAAATATTTCTTCAGAAAAAAGTACTGATTTACATAGTACCTATTAGATATGAGTGTATTTGTTTTCCCACACCTTTGCCCATACTTAGAATTATTATTTTTAAATCTTATATATTTAATAGATGAAAATTATTTTTATTTAAAGCACTTACTTTATTATTAGATTGAAGAATATTTTGTGTTTATTGAGCAATCATACTTTTTTGTGAACTGCCTATTCATGGCCTGTGCTTGTTTGTATGTTATATGTCTTTCTACCTTTTTTTAAAATACATTTTTATTGATTTCAGAGAGGAAGGAAGGAGGAGAGAGAGAGAGATAGAAATATCAATGATAACAGAGAATCATTGATCGGCTGCCTCCTGCATGCCCCGCACTGAGGATCAAGCCCCAAACCCGGGCACCTGCCCTGACCGGGAATCAAATCATGACCTCCTGCTTCTTAGGTCTACACTCACCACTGAGCCATGCCAGCCAGCTCTTTCCACTTTCTGTTACTGACTTATGAGAGCTCTTTATTAAGGACTAGAGGTCGGATGCATGAAATTCAGGCAAGGGGCTCAGCCCTCACAGTCCCAGCTGCCCCAGCCGGCTCTCGCAGCCCCAGCTCCATCCAGAAGGTCTTCTGGATGGTCATTCTGCTGTTCGTTTAATTAGCATATTAGCTCTTTTTTGTATAGGATAGTGATCCTTCTGTTTGTTGTGGTGCAGGTGTTGTCCCATTGTCATTATTCTAAACTTAGAATTGTTTTATGTACCATTTTTCAAAAGCTTTTTCATGAACTTATCTATTAATTTATAGGTTGTTTCTCATCTTTTGTGAGTGTTAATGCCTTCTCCCACTCAAAAATTATATAAATATCTACCTGTGTTTTCTAATAACATAAAACTTTTTAATCACACAGGTTTATTTTAGTGTATGTTGTGAGACAGAAACTTTTTCTTTGAGTAGGTAACCAGTTGTTTCACCACCAGTTGATCGAGACTACTGCTTTTATTAGTATAAAATTTTTTAATCTGTTACTAGGAATCTGTTCCTAACCATATTTATCTATCATTATGCACTATTTTAATTATTATAATATGTATAAAGTATATTATTTGATACTATATATTTTCTGTCATTATGGTTTTTCAGTGTTGTCTGTTCTCAACTGTTTATCCTTTTGGATGGATTTTTATATCAGTTCTTTGAGTTTAAAGAAAACCCTGCAACTATGTATACAACTATGTCGTATTTATAAATTAAATAGGTAAAATTAAGTCTTTCAGTGTTGACAAATCCCCATTCAGTCTCTCTCTCCACTCAAGGTTTTTTGGGTTTAAGTCTTTCAATATAATTCTGTTGTTTTCTTCACCTCAATGTGGCATGTCTCATTATTTTACTAGATATTTAAATTTTTTTCTAAATAAGATTCCTCGCTGATCATTTCTGTTATATAATCTTATTTACTTTTCAGGTTACAGAATACCTGTATGCTAATAAAATGGCTTTCCGGTACCCAGAACCTGAGGACAAGGCCAAGTATGTTAGAGAAAGAATATGGCGAAGTGAATATGACTCCATGCTGCCAGATATGTATGAATGGCCAGAATCTGGACAAAGCCCTCCTGTGCTACCAGAATAGAAGCGCCCACAAATAAATATTGTCCGTGCTTCAGGGAACCCCTCTTTTCAGACAAAATATAATGTTCTCAAATTTATGGGGTTTTTTTCCTGTGTTTTATTGTCCCCCACTGCTTTGCCAGACTTATTTTTCCCATGAATCTACACTTCTGTGTGGGTAGATGTGTCGACTACATTGTTAATGCCCACTGGCACCCTGCCACCAAATAGCCGTAATCCGTTCATTCTGATTTGTAGCTCATACCACATCAAAGAGATGTTAAAAATATATTTTGAATGTCTTCACCTGTACTCTTAATCACACTTGCCCAAGAATTTGCTATTTACTATTATCTATATATATATAAAAGCCTAAGCGACCCAATGATAAGTTGACCAGTTGCTATGATGTGCACTGACCACCAGGGGGCAGATGCTCAACACAGGAGCTGCCCCCTGGTCGTCAGTGCACTCCCACAGCCAATCTCCTGCAGCCAGCCAACATCACATGGCCCTTCCCCTTGGCCGGCCAACCTCCTACAGCCTGATAGGCCCCAATAGCCAGCCAGGCCAAGGGACCCCACCTGTGCATGAATTTGTGCACTGGGCCTCAAGTAGGTAATAATCTTTCACTGAGCTCTTTTGAGGGTGACTAATATACTAACTGACTTCTGTGGAGATGAGCACACAGTATGAGGAAAAAGCCAAATTTAACCAAATTCTAAGGATAAATTGTCTATCTAAAATGTTTTTATTTATTTCTTCCTCATGCTCTGAAATTCCTCTCCAGTATATAGAGTTAGAGAAATATGAAAAATATACCCTATTATTTATTTCCTAAAACTAAATTAAGGCTTTACTATAACATTGTAAGAGAGAAATGGAAACTACTGCTGCCTTTAGACAAATAAAAAAATAGTCATTGAGCCTGTAATAATGTCAACATTAAAACATTTAAAAAGTCATTGTTTTTAACAGTGTATAAAAATCATAGTGTAACTTTTTTATTTAATAAAGATAATAACTTCAATTTAATTGCTTCAATTATGCTATTTTATTGCTCAGGTAGAAATTTAGCTTTGCTTATTATGAAAAACACATATTTTCATCATCTTAATTTCGAGATGATTCTGAGGAGGGAGTTATAAGATGCATAAATTATGATTAACATCGTGACTTTTAACAAATTAGTCAGATGTTTCACATCTAAACCGAGTCATATTTAACTGAAGAAGTCATACCCCTCTTCCAATAGTGATGCTCTACTTGAGATAATTTTGGAATATTCATTCCTACGAGACATTCCTTTGAATATCATTAGTGACAATTCTTTCTCCATTAAAAATGAATTTAATTTTTTGAAGCCATCAAAATTAATTTAGAGCCAAGTGGGATAAATAAGGTAGGTGTTCAGACCGTTTTTTTTGTTTTTTGGTTTTTTTTAAATATATTTTATTGATTTATTACAGAGAGGAAGGGAGAGAGAGAGAGAGCTAGAAACATCAATGAGAGAGAAACATCGACCAGCTGCCTCCTGCACATCTCCTACTGGGAATGTGCCCGCAACCCAGGTACACGCCCTTGACCGGAATCGAACCCGGGACCCTTCAGTCCGCAGGCTGACGCTCTATCCACTGAGCCAAACCGGTTTCGGCCAGACCGTTTTTAATAGTCCATTTTCATGCCATTTTCAACCCAGTAAAATGGATAATAATTGACTAGTGAGACCAGTTTTTTGTGTGGCTTACAAACTGGAGAGTTATAAAGGAAAATCCAGAATCATTTTAAGAAGTAGTAGTATGGCTATCTATGTGCCTAACACGGATGCTTTGAAGGAACTAAATTTTTAAATGCTCATTCTACAATATTACTACAAAAAAGTATTCACAACTACTTAGCATGCACATTATTTGACATTTCTCTCCACAGTCCTTGATATGGTAAATATAACATTCTGTAGAGAAAAAAGGGCATTGTATTTATTTTCATATTTTCCTCTACCTATAGCCAGAGATTAATTCACAATAATTTTGAGTAAATTCTTCATTTTAAGAATGCTCAAAATGTCATTGCCATTTAAAATATGGGGAAGTGCAAATCTGTTAATTTGTTTAACAGTCAGAAAAGTCTGTTAGACAAATCTGTTTCATAAAATAAGCAACTAGGTCACAATTTGTTTCTTTTAATTAAATATGAAAGGTTTATGTTTTTCATACTACCTTTGTCAAAACACAATCACTCCCAAAAATATTCTCTGAAATCTTGATTTTAGTTTAACATAAATATTACAAACCTGATTTGTGCTTATTAAAGGTAGGAACACATGCTGAAGTTTACTTAGTAATTTGACTAAGATGTTCACTTATTAATATCTCTAGTACAGGTCTCATGGGAATTATCAATATTTCAAGGGGAAAAAAACAAGGCCAAATAGCATATTGCTTTTTTAAATAAGAAATCTTATATGTATATATTTCTAAGCTACTTAATTCTCATTATGTATTATTTACCAACCAATATTTTTTAATAAGTATTGGGTGTAAAGTAATGAAACCATTTTTAATATTAAAGCCAAGAAAATACAGGCAAGAATTCTCATTATGGTGGGAGGAGGGTGGCATAATGGCATCAAATTAGAAAATAAGCTGAAACATTTGATTTGTATGGAAACATTTACCTAGAAAGGAGGTAATTGTTTTGAAAAACAGGAATGGAGAGTCATTTTAATTCTTTTGAGTAAAGAAATTCTGTAGATTAGCCTGTCAGAAATGATTAAATAGGAAAAAGTGATGACACATTTTTCTAACGTGGCAGCACCACCTGTGGTGTGAAACAAATTGGATAAATCGTGAGGGTAAGGTTTATTGACGATAATGGGGAAAGTGTTAAAGATTTTGATTAAAACCTTTCTAAAGGATGGATTCTTACCCAGAAAGTTGCCTCAGAATCACTGCGAAGCTTCTTTAAGAAGCTTCTTTAAAATGCGGAGGCCTCTGTCCCTTCCTCTGGGCCCCTGGACCCCTAGGCAGAGTCGTGGTAGGTGTGTTCTCAGCGCACACTTCCCCTGCCCTCCCTGTCACTGCCTTAAAGCAGGTTGTCTGAGTCTCCTGGAGAGCTGGCCCATTCCTCCTGTGGATGCCCTGGGTCTGGGGTGGGACCCAAGATTCTGCACTTCTGACGAGCTCCCTGGTGATGCCCGGTGATGCCCATGCTGCTGGTACAGAGAAGGCCCGAATGGCATTGCTCCAGAGTCCTAGTGGTGTGCATTTTGAGTTCAGTGCTCATAGAGTATGTACTGCACATGAAAAAGATGACAAATTATGTTCTTACAAAGAATTGGGTCCACCTATTTCTGTTATGTATAGTTTTTAAAGGATGTTTATAAGAGCAAAAATTAATACAGAACTTTTAAACATTTTTATGAAAAGGCATAACTTGAATACTGTTTAATTTCAAATTATGGATTTTAAATGTACTTATTAAAACCTAGCAACCAGTTTTCATTTATAAAAGATTAGCCATCAAATGAATCTTTGTTTATTCTCTATTTTTGGTTGTCTCATGCTATGACTTAACCTATCCTTTGTCTTTTCTTTCTCTAAATTATCAGCATCTGGAGAAATAAGATTTTGCATTCTTCTTTGCAAAGGAGTTACTAGCAAATTAATACCAATGCATAATCATTATTAAGGGGTGTGGGGCATTATTTACTGCTGAGCGATAACTAAGAAAGCCCAAAGGGGATGGTAGGGGAATAGGAAAAGCCTTTCTTTAGAAAAAAATACTTCATCCAAAGGCTTCTCTAGCTTTTTTCCTAAACCCATTCAGTATCCCTCAAAGATAATTTCTTCACACAGTTGAACAGCTCTAGTGTTCTGTTGAATTCACCAAAGTGGAATCATCTCTGTTGAGCATACACAATACATGAGAACATTAATATAAATCCCAATGCTCTCTACTAGGGTTCCATTTAAAGCAGTGGTTTTCAACCTTCTGGCCCTTTAAATACAGTTCCTCACGTGACCCAACCATAAAATTATTTTCGTTGCTACTTCATAACTAATGTTGCTACTGTTATGAATCATAATGTAAATATCTGATATGCAGGATGGTCTTAGGCGACCCCTGTGAAAGGGTCATTCGACCACCAAAGGGGTCGCGACCCACAGGTTGAGAACCGCTGATAAAGGGCCTGTCCTAATGAATGAAGTAGAACCAATGTCATATTTCCTTCCCAGGCAGGATCACACCTGTTCCGGTGCAGGCACATTGTGACTCCATAGAAAGTCACATTCTATCTGGCTCTTGACTGATCTGTGATTTGCAATTTGATGTGCATCTAAACATTAAAATGAAAGAAATCCTCTACAGACAAGCTAAATAAAGTAACATCCTTAATATTTAAAACAGTCAAGATAATTCAACTGCAGAAAATTTACCGCTCATCAGAAGTGAGCATAAGATGTTTCCATTAAACAAAGAAAAAATGCTTTTGTTTCAAAATTTTAATAAATTCAACCGGGACTAATTAGGACATGACTCTTAGTGCCTAATTCCTTTAATCCTTGCCAGGAGTTACTCAGATAAACTAGTGACGAGATTTTAAAACAATAATTATTTTCCTTTCTTGGACAAGGAAAATTATGCTTCTCAAAGAGAAAAGTAAGCCAGTGTATAATACAAAAGGTGTTCCTAGTTCAGTTGCATAAAATACACAAATGAAGGTAAATGACTCTGGGATGCTTTGCATCTTTTGCCAGTAAACTTCCATATGGTTATTTAATCTTGCTTTTTTCAAATGAATACTTGCCATTTGCTCTTTGGGAAGTTATCCCCACATTCAACATACTTCCTAAAGTTTTAAGACTAAGGAGAAATCTATTCCCCAGTTTTCAGTAGGTTGTAGAAAAATTGTTTTCCCTTTCCTAATTTTAAGTGTTTATTCTAGCAAATCATTGATTCCTACGTAATCATTGAAATATCACCAACATGTTAGGTAAGCAGTTAGTGAATAATGATAAACACATTTTATGAATAGCACCTACTCTGCGCCGGGCATTGTTCTAAGTATCCTACGTGCATCATTATGTTGAATCTT